AGATTGTCTTTTTTTTTTTTTTTTTTTTTTTGAGCATAATATTTCCCTATTTTTTCATTTTTCTTAAGGCACATAGAGTGCTGTCCCTTCTGTTTAGGCTCAAGAAGGTTTATTCTTTATTTGCTACATAGGCTCCTAGATACTGGCTTATTAGAAGCCAAAGCTGTGGGGAGTTGCTGGAAAGGCTGCCAAGATTTTGGCTTGAGGAACTATAATAATGGAGTTACTGTTTTGTTTTTTTTTTTTTTTTTTTTTTTTGAGACGGAGTCTCGCTCTGTCGCCCAGCCCAGGCTGGAGTGCAGTGGCGCGATCTTGGCTCACTGCAAGCTCCGCCTCCCGGGTTCACGCCATTCTCCTGCCTCAGCCTCCCGAGTAGCTGGGACTACAGGCGCCCACAACCGCGCCCGGCTAATTTTTTGTCATTTTTAGTAGAGACGGGGTTTCACCGTGGTCTCGATCTCCTGACCTTGTGATCCGCCCGCCTCGGCCTCCCAAAGTGCTGGGATTACAGGCGTGAGCCACCGCGCCCGGCCTGGAGTTACTGTTTACTCAGATGGTGAATATTACTAGAAGAAGTAATTCTTCATTTTTCTTAACTCTGTATTGGTTTCTGTGTATTATATAAAAGAACCACCTTCTCTAGTCTTGTTAGACTGGTCTTATGTAGCAGGTGTTTCTTCCCAGTCAGCCTGGGCAGTATTCTGGTTCCTCAGAACTTTGTGCTTGTCCAGCCTGTCTTTGTTCTTAGTGGCCTCCAAGAAATTAGAGTCAAGTTGTACTATTGCCTTGAGAACAACTTGAGGGGTGGTATAGAAGCCATTCCCTTGGGATATGACTAGAGGTATTGGGATGTTAGATGTATGCTTTGGTTTCTTCTTTCCTTGCAGAGAAGCTGAAAGCCAGAGTTTATCTCCCACTGATTCTGCTCTGCACCAAGGAGAGTGTCTGAGGCAGATGTCTATATTCTTGATCTAACTGCTGACTTTTAACCTGGAGGAGATAGCTGCTGAATATTTATTTGCAAGTTTAAAAGTCACCTGTTTGTTCTCAGTGGTCTAGGAGACTCAGGAGTGTAGAGCTTCATCAACTCCCAGAGCTAGGTGATTTAGCAGCCTGTCCCTCCAATGAAAGCTATAAAAGTTGGGGTTCTCGATGTGTTCAAAAACTTTTCGTGGCGAGTTTGAAGACCTGGAATTATTGCCAGAGCCTGCAGGGAAAAAGGTGCAGGAAGCCCACTCTACTTTTTGGGCCAGCAGGTCTCATGCCTCCCTAGCAGGGGGAGACTTCTGATCTGAAGCTATTACTGGAGCAAGCCAAGAGGAAGGCACAGGGAGTGCTGACTTTCCTTTTCAGGAATGGGGAGGTCCTCCACCTCCTTCCACCGGGAGATTATAGGAATTTATCTCTAGAGCACATGGAGGCAGAAGGCCTGAGAAGTGCTGTCCCTTCCATTCGTGCTGGCAGAGATTTCAGGGCTGGGATTATGTCTGGAGCAAGCCAGGGAAGGAGGTGCAGAGAGTGCTCACTCTCCTGTTCAAGCAAGAAGTCTCACATGCACCTTGCAGGGGTAACCTTTTGGTCTGGAGTTCCCTGAAGCAAGTCAGGGAAGAAGACACAGGGAATGTCCCCTTCTCTTTCTAGTCATGGAGAGGGCCCCTTGCCTCCTCCTAATGAGAGGTTGCAAGCCAGGGAAGAAAGCACAGAGAGTGCTGTTCCTCCTGTTCTTGCTGGCAGAGGCCTCCAGTCTCTTTCCAAGGAGAGAGTGTATGGCTAGGATTAGCACCTGAAGTAAGCCAGGGGAGAAGAAGGCACATAGAGTGCTGTCCCTTCCGTTTAGGCTCAAGGAGGTTTAATTCTTTATTTGCTACCTAGGTTCCCGGATAATGGCTTGTTAGAGGCCAGAGCCTCAAGGAGTTGCTGGAAAAGCTGCCAAGATTTTGGCCTGAGGAACTAGAATAATGGAGTTGCTGTTTACTCAGATGGTGAGAATTACTAGAAGGAGGGAGTACAGTTTTGGATATGTTAATTTTGAGGTACCTATGAATGCCCTATCCAGGAAGAGATAATCAAGGAAGCAGGTGGTTATACAGGCCAGAAGCTCGAGGGAGGTGTCCAGGCTGAGAACTTGCAGTCCCCAAATGTGCCATGCTGTTTTAAGGTTCTTTGTTTATGCACATCCTGCCCCGCTGCCTATAAATCTCCCTCAAACACTTCTAGTCATACCCATGTTACATATTACCAAAAGTCAGAGTTGATCACCCTCTCCTCTATGTTGCCAGTCTCTACCTATTTTTGCCTTCTTCTCTGTAATATAGATATTGTTTACTTAACCATATTAATTTAGTGTCTAGTATGTATTATACCACTGTTCTAAGCACTAAGGATAAGATAATGCAAAATTCTGATACTTATGATGGTAGGAGGTGCAGACAATAAATAAGCGGATAACATTCAGGTAGTGATAAGTGCCATAAAAGAATGTAAAACAGGCCGGGCGCGGTGGCTCAAGCCTGTAATCCCAGCACTTTGGGAGGCCGAGACGGGCAGATCACGAGGTCAGGAGTTCAAGACCATCCTGGCTAACAAGGTGAAACCCCGTCTCTACTAAAAAATACAAAAAATAACTAGCCAGGCGAGGTGGCGGGCGCCTGTAGTCCCAGCTACTTGGGAGGCTGAGGCAGGAGAATGGCGTAAACCCGGGAGGCGGAGCTTGCAGTGAGCTGAGATCTGGCCACTGCATCCCAGCCTGGGCGACAGAGCGAGACTCCCTCTCAAAAAAAAAAAAAAAAAAAGAATGTAAAACAGTACGTTGGGATAGAGGTTGCATACTGAGCACTACTTCAGCAAGCCTGGCCAGGAATGGTCTCTCTGCTGAGAGAGACTTGAATGAGGTGAAAGAGTGAGCCGTCATAAGATCTGGAGGAACAATAATACAGGCAGAGAGGACAGCAAATATAAAGACCTTGAGGCCAGGCATTGTGGCTCACACCTATAATCTCAACACTTTGGGAGTCTGAAGTGGGTGGATGGCTTGAGCCCAGGAATTCCAGCCCAACCTGGGAAACATAGTGATACCTCGTCTCTACTTAAAAAAAAAAAAAAAAATTAGCTGGGCATGGTGATACATCTGTGGTCCCAGCTGCTTGGAAGGTTGAGGTACGAAGATCGCTTGAGCCCAGGAGTTTGAGGCTGCAGTGAGCCAGGTTTGTGCCACTGCACTCCAGCCTGAGTGACAGAACAAGACACTGTCTCAAAAAAGAAAAAAGAAAAAAAGATAAAGACCGGCCAGGCACAGTGGCTCACACCTGTAATCCCAGCACTTTGGGAGGCCAAGGCGGGCAGATCACCTGAGGTCGGGAGTTCGAAACCAGCCTGGCCAATGTGGCGAAACCCTGTCTCTACTAAAAATACAAAAATTAGCCAGGCGCGGTGGTGGGCACCTGTAATTCCAGCTACTTGGGAGGCTGAGGCAGGAGAATTTCTTGAACCCAAGAGGCAGAGGTTGCAGTGAGCCGAGATCACACCATTGCACTCCAGCCTGGGTGACAGAGCGAGACTCTGTCTCAAAAAATAAAAATAATAAAGACCTTGAGACATACGGAGCCTGGTGTGTTCCCAGCAAAGCCAGTGTGGCCAGAGGAGCATACTAGAGGTCAGAGAGAAAGGCCAGAGGCCAGGTTATGGAGGGCCTTGTGGAGCTTGCTGCAGAGTTTATAAACTCTAAGGGTGATGGAAGCCACAGGAAGGTTTTGAGGAGGGATTAATGTGATCTGATTTGTTTTAGATAGATAACTGTAGTTGCTATATGGAAATAGAAGTAGAAGCACGGAGACTATTGCAATAGTGTAGGCAAGAGGTAGGTGGTGAAAAATGGAAAATGAATTGTTTGATGGGGTACAAGAAAAGGGAGGAAAGAGAATAAAATCTAGATTTTGGCATGGGCAATCTGCAAGTTCTATTGCATTACTGTCTTCCTGTAATGTGTAGAATAGGAAAATCCAGAGTTTTTACCATGGTTAAAATGTCCTGCATGATCTGTCCCTTGTTTACCTCCATCCTCGTTCTCTACCACCCTCCCCCTTCTACGTTAAACATCAGCTCAACTGGTGATTTTTAGTTCACATAACTGTCCAGGCTTTTTATTGCCTTATCTAAATGCACACTTCCTCCATCCTAAAATATTACCGCCTCAGAGGCCTCCATCCGCCAGCCCCACTATTACAATTCTCTGGATTTTCTTTTTTTTTTTTTTTTTTTGAGACGGAGTCTCGTTGTGTCTCCCAGGCTGGAGTGCAGTGGCGTGATCTCGGCTCACTGCAAGCTCCGCCTCCCGGGTTCACGCCATTCTCCCGCCTCAGCCTCCCAAGTAGCTGAGACTACAGGCGCCCGCCACCACGCCCGGCTAGTTTTTTGTATTTTTAGTAGAGACGGGGTTTCACCATGTTAGCCAGGATAGTCTCGATCTCCTGACCTCGTGATCCACCCGCCTCGGCCTCCCAAAGTGCTGGGATTACAGGCTTGAGCCACCGCGCCCGGCCTGGATTTTCTTTGTAGCGCTGACTACAGCTTGTACGAAACATACAAATATTTGACTTGTTTCCTTCAATAGATATTTAAGCTCCAGAGGGAGAGGATAGTTCTTTTTCTGTCCATTTCTTTCACCCAGAGCCTAACCAGTGTCTGACACATAGTGGATGCTCAGTTCTCATTTGTTGAATAAATGGGTGCATGAGAGAACTGTCATTAATAAGATAACATCAGGAGCCTGGAAGACATTAAAGTAGTTCTAAATGCTTTCTCTGTCACCCAGGCTGAAGTGCAATGGCATGATCTAGCTCATTGCAGTCATTTTAAATTCTGAACCATATAGGTCCCACTAGGATAGGAAGTATTCCTTCTTACTCACCACCATGTCACTGGTGTCCAGCACAGTGACACTTTGAGAACATCCCGTAACTATAATATGAGTTTACTAACTTTAATTTATTCTTTCTTTCAAGGTTAATCTGAAGCGACCTTGTCCTTTCTGGGCAGAAGATGGCCACTGTTCAATAAAAGACTGTCATGTGGAGCCCTGTCCGGAGGTATAATAAATAAAACAGCAGGGCAAAGCCAGTTTTCTCTTGGACTTTTAGAAAAGCATAACCTCTGTTTTATTTCAGGCTAATGTCAATGGATTTGGACATGTCAGCAAATTCACATGCTCTCAGCTTTCTCCTTTAGAACCAGATTATTGAAGATTCTATACTTGACACCAAAATGGATTTGAAGACACTTGTATCCAGTGATACTGGTCATCGAATGTGGAAATATAGTCTTATTCTAAAATGGAAGGAAAATCAGAGGACTGTTCTAGGATTGAATCTGCAGTTGTCTTTTGTTTCATGCTTTATTGAATCAGCATCTTGTTTCATAGGAAAAAAAACAAAATAAAAATAAACTACTAGACCCTATATTTCAATTTTTTTTTTTTTTTTTTTTTTTTTTTGAGACCGGGTCTTGCTCAGTCGCCCAGGCTGGAGTGCGGTGGCGCGATCTTGGCTCACTGCAAGCTCCGCCTCCCGGGTTCTCGCCATTCTTCTGCCTCAGCCTCCGGAGTAGCTGGGACTACAGGCGCCCACAACCGCGCCCTGCTAATTTTTTGTATTTTTAGTAGAGACGGGGTTTTACCGTGTTAGACAGGGTGATCTCAATCTCCTGACCTCGTGATCCGCCCGTCTCGGCCTCCCAAAGTGCTGGGCTTACAGGCTTGAGCCACCGCGCCCGGCCCTATATTTCAAATTTATAATGATTTAATTGGGGAAATTTCAGGCTTGGAATTAGATTTTCACTTGGCCTTGTTACGTTTACATTTTTTAAAAAACCTATACTTAATACCAAGAGAATGCTACAGTTTAGACTTTGATTTTTGTTATCTAACATAATTAATTATATTCCTCTCCTTCAACAGTAATTAGCTGAAGCCTTGTTTTCCTTTCACTTTCTGTTTTTCTTACCTAATCAGTCTAGTTTGTTGTCCTTAAAAATCTGCACCAATGTCCTTCCTAAACGGAATATTCTTTAAAAATTTATAATATTCAGTTTCCTTTAAGAACAAAATATGTATTAAGTATTTTGTTTACAGTTCTGTTTGATAAACCAGTTGTAATAATTCAGATACATTTATTAAAGCCTAACACTAATTATTGGCCTTGTGAAAAAGAATGTTCCAGCTACACACATTCCGCCCATTGGTAAACCCTAGATTTACTAGGTTAATCATGTGGGCCGAAAAAAAGCCTTCTAGTAATCCACAATTGCCTACACTTTATTAGAGCAGAAGTTAAAATTGCACATAATATATTGCAAATAATTTTGAACTTTTAAAACTTTCTTTTCTATGGTAACAAAGTTTGTGGAAGAAGTGATTATCAGTGTTTTTAACCTAAATTATATAAACTATAAAAAATACTGCAATAAGAGTTATTAGAGCTGCTTTTGGCTTTCTGACTTTGTGTACGTCATTCAGTTTTCTATACTTTGATTTATAAGTCTGTATATTGGGATAACACTTTTACCTTATGAGAGAGTGTGAAAACAGAATTTGAGCGAATGTATATTTGCCCCTCATAGAATAAAATACTTGATGAATTAGAGCAATGCATTGACAATTTGTGAAGAAATTCCAAAAACAATAAAGATCACTTTTTAAATTTGTGTTTTTCTTGTTTTTTTAAGAGTAAAATTCCTGTTGGAATAAAAGCTGGGCATTCTAATAAGGTAAGTCCCTCCTCTTCCTTGAGTGTTTCTGTTTTACATTGTGAAATTTACCATTTACTGACTGAGAGTGGCTGTAATAAAGAACCATATTATGGTTAGTTGGGAATGGAGACATTTTGCCTCAGAATTCCAAATCCCTAACTCTTGCATCAAGCAGATAGGTTGTACATTCCTAGATTCTTTTGAAATTACTTCAGTACTGTTTTTGGAATCTCTGAAACAACTATTAAATGTAACTATAGTGTCAGATCCCTTAGTCAGCAGGTGTTTTATCACATAGCTATTTTTAGTCTTCTGTTTCAACTAGTCAGCCTGGCAGGTTCAAAATTATATTGTATAGAGTAAATAATTATCAAGATATTTTGAGCAGAGTACTTTCAGATGGTATTAAGATATTCATTTTTAATGATTGTTCTTGTCCTCTTATGAGAGTATTATAGTTTATTTTGCCATTTATATGTTTTTAGATAACTGTTTATTTCCTGTTTTTCACTACTGCACGTACATAATGAAGATCATCCTATCCTCTCTGTCTCCTCCTTGTGCCTCCTTTGCATTTTCTTCTTGCTCTCTCTCCCGTGTAACCTTTTGTTTTTACTTTATTGTATTTGTTTTTGTTTCAGATCTGAAATAAATAAAACCATATAAAAGCAGTTGAAACCCCCTCAGCTCTTTCCCAGTTCATTCTACTTCCTCCCTCCCCAGAACTAACCATTTTTCTGAAGTATCCTTCTGCGATTTTATATTCCTATTGCAGGTGTATCTACAAGTAATATATTTTACACTTTTATTGCATGTGTATTCACAAGTAATATGTAATTTATTGTGTGTAAATTTTTTTATTTAACTATTTTTGTATTTCTTTAGGTTACAAACACTTTTTTTCAGTTTGTGTTTTTACTCATGCTTTTGAAATTTTCTTTGTTGGTATATGTGGATTTTGTTCATCATCTTAATAGCTGTAGTCAGTTGTATGACTATAACACATATTAGCCATTCCTCTAGTGATGGACATTTCAGTTGTTCCCAGTTTTTGGCTATTTCAAACAGTAATGCATTAGCATTTTTGTCCTTTGTCTCGTGCACACATGCAAGAGTTTCTCTAGGTGTACATGTAAAGGCTGGATTGCTGAACCACAAGGTGTGCCTATCTCAACATTACAAATAATACCAAAGAATTTTCCAAGGCAGTTGTACCTTTTTAAAAGAATGGTTGCCTTGGGATATGGTCTCACTAGTGGGAGTGTAGGTTCAAAGGTTTAAGCATTTTGCAAACATGTATGCGTGTATATATATGTGTATATATGTGTGTGTGTATATATATAACTTTTATATATATTAAAACCCTCTTGGGAACTAAATTTGACCATATATTTGTATATATGTATACATATATATACACACACACGTATGTATGTATACATACATATATATACATACACACACACACACACATATATATATGGTCAAATTTACTTCCCAAGAGGGTTGTTTTTTCAGTTGACATCATCACCAACACATCAGTGCTAATTGTTAACTTTTATTTTTAAATTTTTATTTCTTTTTTTGAGACAGAGTCTTGCTCTGTCATGCAGGCTGGAGTGCAGTGGTGTGATCTCAGCTCACCTCAACTTCCACCTCCCAGGTTCTAGCAATTCTCCTGCCTCAGCCTCTCCCGAGTAGCTGGGATTACAGGTGTGTGACACCACACCTGGATAATTTTTGTATTTTTAGTAGAGATGGGGTTTTACCATGTTGACCAGGCTGGTCTTGAACTCCTGGCCTCAAGTGATCCGCCCGCCTCGGCCTCCCAAAGTGCTGATTACAGATGTGAACCACCGTGCCCAGCCTAATTGTTAAATTTTAATATGTTGTTGATGGAAATAATATTTAGGTGGTGGAAATTTCTGCCTCATTTTCATTTGTATTTCTTACATATGATAGGAATTTTTATAATGGAATGTATCTATATTTAGTGTATATCATTGTTGACAGATTGATTATTCTGCCAGTAGAAACTGAAATAAAGAATAAGGTAATAATTATTACTAAACTTATGAACTTCTTTGCAGTACTTGAAAATGGCAAACAGTACCAAAGAATTAGAAGATTGTGAGCAAGCTAATAAACTGGGAGCAATTAACAGCACATTAAGGCAAGTTTTATTTTGGTAGTATTAAGAAAATACTCTCTTATTGATATCAAGAATCAATTTTTTTTATGATTTTGGTAAAAAATTTTTGTACCCATTAAAGTTTTAACTAATATATTTTTAAAAGGAAGAAAAAGTTTTTCTTTATCCTAAATTTCATAATAGCTTTGCCTCTTCTTGGCTGATTTATCCCTAAATTTCTAGAATGTACCATCCATAGTAAATCTTTTAAAAAGTAGAAATTTACAAGATTGTTCAGCTAACAGGGTTTATGGATCCATTTTTCCTGATTACTATGGAAGAAGGGGCTTGAACTCCTAAGTCTTTTATAAATAGTAATTCAGTCTGCATGTTACCTTTTGAATGATAAAAGTTATTAGCCTAACTATTAAATTTCATAGATTTTTTTCTGTTAACTTTTCCTTATTCTAAATAGAAACCAGCATAAATAATATATAAGTGGCCTCAAATTGTGCAGTGTAAAATGACTAGACATAATCAGTAGTTGGGAATGGGATATTTCAGAAATTCCTTTACATTCCCATTTGATTAGATTTGTATTTACAAGATGGGTACGGTGGCTCACGCCTGTAATCCCAGCACTTTGGGAGGCTGAAGTGGGCAGATCACCTGAGGTCAGGAGTTTAAGACTAGCCTGGCCAACATGGTGAAACCCTGTCTGTTTCTAAAAATACAAAAATTAGCCGGGCGTGGTGGCAGGTGCCTGTAATCTCAGCTACCTGGGAGGCTGAGGCAGGAGAATTGCTTGAATCTGGGGAGGTGGAGGTTGCAGTGAGCTGAGATCGCACCACTGCACTCTAGCCTGGGTAACAAGAGCAAGACTCCGTCTCAAAAACAAACAAACAAACAAAAAAAGATTTGTATTTATGTACTATAATTGCTAATGACTCAGTATAAATTAGCAATTTTATTTATTGAAAACAAAATTTAATATAGGAAAATAAAAGATAATAAACACCCACATATATATCCTCCATTTCAAATAAATAATCCTCCATTCCAAGTAAATAAATATTAACATTTTTTGCCATATGTTTTAAGGAACAAGAAATATCACGTAAATTTTAAATCCCTTATGCTGTATTCCCTAATCCAGTAGAGGTAACTACTATCATGAATTTGGTGGTGTATATCCAGTCCATTTTTGTTTTTATCATATATTTATATGTATACATAAGATAGTTTTATTTTGTGTATATGGTTTTATTTTTCCTTTATATAAATGATATCCTATATTTAACATTCTGCAATTTTTTTCATTATACATTTTGCTTTCTAGATCTTTCCATGTTGAAACACAGATTTATTCTTTTAACTGATGATTTTCATCATATAAATATGCCACATTTTACTTAGCTATTCTCCTATTGACGATTGTTTAGCTATTTCCAATTATTTACTTTTACAAACATGCCACCTTGAGCATTCCTGAATTTTTTTTCACATTAGAAGTAAAATTGTTGAATCTTAAGATTGTCTTTTTTGTACCCATTCTTGATATTGCCTGATGGCATTCCATAGTACTTGGTGTGAATGTTTACTGACTCCAGTGCTGACAGCTTGTATCATTCTCTACATCCTTACCAAAAGTAATGTTTGATAAGTGTGAAATAGCACCTCATTTTTGTTTAATTTATACTTTGTAATTATAGTGGATTTGAGCATTTTTTATTTATTGGACATTTGAGTTTCTTCTTCATTCAACAAATGAATGTCTACAATGTGCCAAGCGCTGTTCTAGGGTACTAGGAATACAGTAATGCAACTGATAAAATTTCCGCCCTCGTGTAGCTTTATCCTTGTCAGAGGAAATAACATGATAGACAAGTAAAATATATGAGAAATAAGTAAGTAAAATGATTATGAATGTTAGGGAAGACAGGCAGGGAAGAACAAAGAGGGCTGGGAGTGAGTGGCATTGTTTTAAATTGGGTGGTCAGAGAAGACCTAAGTGATAATATGACACTTGAACAAATTGCTGAAGAAGGTGAAGGCATGAGTCATCCTATGGTTGGCTGGGGTATGAGCAATCCAGGTATATATAAATGTTAGTTGAAAACCCCCATGGCAGGATCATGCCTAGACCTAAACACAGTAAAACAATGTAACTGGAGCACAGTGATCAAGGGCAAAGTAGCAGAAGACAAGGTCAAAAGATGCTGGGGATGGGGCAGGAGGTGGGGTGGGTAGAGATCTTGTAGAGCCTTGAAAGCAATTATAATGAGTATTGCTTTTAGAGTGGGTAGAATAAAAGTCACTGGGAGGTTTTGAACAGAGGAGTTAAGGGCATGTGTTGAGGGAGCCTGATACGTTGCAGAAACCTTATTACATGATTATTGTAGTAATCCAAATGAGACATTATGGTGATTTAGACCAGGGTGATAGCAGTGGAAATAATGAGAAGCGGTCAGGTTCTGGATGTATTTTGAAGATAAAGCTGACAGAATTTGCTGCAGTATTAGATATGTGATTTTGAGAAGATACGAGCTTTTGGATGACTACAAGATTTGGAATTATAAAAATGGAGTTGCCATTTAGTTACCTGTGGACAGCTGCAGGAGGAACAAGTCTGATACAAAGTTAAAGTCAAATTTGGATTTGTTAAGTTTGAGCTGCCTGTGAGACATCCCCTTGGAGATTTCAGGTTGGCAGTTGGGTATACAAGTCTGAATTAGGGGAGAGGTCTGGAAGTCAGTCAATGAATAGATGGTATTTAGCAGCCATAACCTGAGTGAGGTCACCAAGGAGAGAGTGTAAATAGAGGAATGATCTAGGGATTAGGCTTAAGTCATTACAAAATTTTGGGGTAAATTGCCAGTTTATATTCTTTGTCATTTTTTTCTCTGTTGGGTTGGATTTTTAAATTATTACTGATTTGTAAGCATTCTTTATATAATGTGATAATTCTTTGTTGGCTCTATTGGTTGTTAGGACTTGTCTTTTAATTTTGCTTGTAGTTTTTTGTTGTTGAACAGAAATTTTTTTAACTTAAATTTTTTAAGTATAATACACATGCAGTAGAGTAGAAAATTATTAAGTGTAAAGGTCAATTTAACTTTACAAAGTGAACCCAACTCTATAGCCACCATCCAGAGCAGTACACTTGCTGCCCGGATTACCATGTGGACTTTTCCTAGTCATTGTCACCTTCCAAAGTTAACCATGATTTTGAGATACCGACAGAGATTGGTTTTAACTGTTTATAAAGAGAATGATATAGAATATATTCTTTTGTACCTGGCTTCTTTTTGTTAACATGTGTCTGAGATTCATTCATGTTTTTGGACATAGCAATGTTTACTTCTTTTTTATCGGCACATAATATTCTGTAGTAAGAATGTGCTATGTTTCCATTCTGCTCTCGATAGCTTATACTTTGGGGCCATTTCAAAAATATTTTGAGGCAGGAGAATGGCCTGAACCCAGGAGGCGGAGCTTGCAGTGAGCCGAGATGGCGCCACTGCATTCCAGCCTGGGCTACAGAGGGAGACTCTGTCTCAAAAAAAAAAAAAATATATATATATTTTGGTGGATACAGTTGGACATGGTGACTCATGCCTGTAATCTCAGTATTTTGGGAGGCCAAGGCAGGAGGATTATGTGAAGCCAGGAGTTCAAGATCAGCCTGGGCAACAAGTAAGATCCTGTCTCTACAAAAAATTTAAAAAAAAAAAAAAATAGCCAGGTGCAGTGGCGTGGGCCTATAGTCCCAGCTACTTGAGAGGCTGAGGCAGGAGGATCACTTGAGGTCATGAGTTTGAGACTGCAATGAGCTATGATTGTGCCACTGTACTCCCCAGCCTGAGTGACAAAGTGAGATACTATGTGTAAAAAAATAAAAAATAAATTTGGGGCATACATGTGTACATTTTTATGGAGAATACACCTAGGAATGAGATTAGGTACTGCCAAATTGTTTTCTAAAATTGCTACCAGATTGTATTGCTACTAGCAGTGTATCAGTTATTTTTCCTACAACTTCTCCAGCGACTGGTACTATGATTTTTTAAACAGCTTTACTTTGAGGTATAATGAAATATGACACACGGCATATAAAGTATACAGTTTGATGTTTTGACATGTGTCCACCCATATAACATCATCACAATTAAGATACCATAGGCCAGGTTTGGTGGCTCATGCCTGTAATCCCAGCACTTTAGGAGGCCGAGGCAGGGGATCACAGGAGTTTGAGACCAACCTGGCCAACATGGTGAAAATACTACCTAAATACTACTAAAATTAAAAAAATTAGCCAGGCATAGTGGCGGGCGCCTGTAATCCCAGCTACCTAGGAGGGTGAGGCAGGAGAATTACTTGAACCCAGGAGGTGGAGGTTGCAGTGAGCCAAGATCGTGCCACTACACTCAAGCCTGGGTGGCAGAGCAAAACTGTGTCTCAAATAAATAAGTAAGTAAATAAATAAAAGATATATTGACTGGGCATGGTGACTCACGCCTGTAATCCCAGAACTTTGGGTGGCCAAGACAAGCAGATCACTTAGCCCAGGAATTTGAGACCAGCCTGGGCAACATAGCGAGACCCTGTCTGTACAAAAAACTAAATAAATAAATTAGCTGGATGTGTTGGCGTATGTCTGTAGTTTGAGCTACTTGGGAGGCTGAAGGTAGGAGGATCACTTGATCCCGGAAGGTCAAGGCTACATTGAGTTATGATGTCACTGCACTCCAGCCTGGGTGCAGTGAGACCCTGTCTCAAAAAAAAAAAATTATCACTCCCAGAAAGTTTCTCATTCCCTATTCCATCTTTTGTGCTCCTCATTTCCCAGTTTGAAGACTACTACTTTAACTTCAGGACACTATCTTGAAAGGATAAGCCTGAGAAATTCTCATGCAAATAGTGTTGCATCCATCTTCAAGCTGACTTTTGGAAAAGTTCAACTAGATAACCTCTAAGGTCCCTTCTAATTCATTTATAAATCAAACTGAGTCAGCTTTGTTAGCTTTGGATGCACATTCAATGTTTTTTCTGGCTTAGGCATGGCTTTATTATGGTTTTAGGCAGGGATTAGGTGAAAGAATCAGCAAAGCCTCCTCAAATAAGGATGCTCAAAGAAGAAAGTTCCTGAAAGTCAGTCATATCATTAACAAGAAAATAGGAATTTATATCACTATTGATTTGTTCTTCACTATTTTCAACATAAGATCTATCTTATTAAACACAAGTTTAGTTACATCATTTTAGCTATAATTAGGCATTATTTTTATGGCATTATGTATTTCAATTGAGTCAACTATGATACAATATTTTTGTTAATTTTTATTATATACTCCCATAGGGAAAAAAATTCCACAGTAAGTTGAACCGGAAAAATATATTGATAAAGTTGATGTGGTATAGCCAAGCTGATATACTTCTTTGTAGCGGCTTCTCAAATACAAAACAAATTCTTGATTACGACAGTACCACATTTAGAAATTACCTGATTTTTACCTTTATATACCTGATTTATATAGTTTTTTGTACCTTGTTTTTTCCTTTTGTGTTATGAATAAAGAGGGTAGCAAAATGATGCCTCTCTGATAGGTCCTACCATCGTGAGTATTCAATACAGAGAAGGCCTGAATATAGGTTTGTTAATGTAGATCAAAGTTGTTTTCAGTGAAGTTGTTCCTCATCAGTTCTTCAAGTCAGAAATCTTGATCATAGATTTTGTTAAATGTTAAGTAGGCTGTGAAATGAATGATACACCATGATGAAAGTCGCATTGTTGTAACCAGTGAATACCACATTGGATGGGAGATTATAGAAATACAGTTACTGGTATTTTAGATCTTGTAAGTGTAGAAGCAATTTAAATTAAAAGAATTCTGAAAGTAAATTTAATTACTTCAGGAAAAAATACAATTAACATTATAATTTCTAAGTTAATTGAAAAGTTTAGCTTGAGTTTTGTGTTTACATGTTATATGTATTTATAAATTAATTTCTAGTTAAAATATTGACTAGTCATAATTCAGTGTAGTTAAGAAATATAAATTACTCAAGGAAATTAATATATATATTTTCATATAACTTGTTTTTTATCATTCCTTTGTGTAATCACTAATAACAGAATTGTGGCATCATCTAATCTTTAACTGACCTCAGATTATCTATTTTAATGATACTAGAATACAGTGTTAAAAGTTGCAGCTCTAAATTTAATAATTTTTCTTTTTTATTCCTCCTTCCCATAGTAATCAAAGCAAAGAAGCTTTCATTGACTGGGCAAGATATGATGATTCACGGGATCACTTTTGTGAACTTGATGGTAATACAATAAACTATTATCATTACATTATTTTAACTTTAACCTTTTCATGAGACATTTTTAATCAATGAAAATATAAACTGAATTATAGCTTCAATACTGGATTTTGCTATGTAGACCTTATCATTCATACTGGCATTTAATGAGAGCCTGTGTTCCAGGCCTTGTGTTAAGTGCCTTAAATACATTATTTCTGGTCTCTGCAGCTACCTTCATAAGTGTGTATTAATTTCATATCTGAGAAAACTGAGTCTGAAAAAGACTAAATAGCTTGCCCAAGATCACACAATAGCAAGAGGCTGAGGCAGGATTTGATCCCATATCCGAATCCAAAACCTGTATTCTTTCCATTATGATACCCCATCTGCCATGGACCTTCAATTGAAGCCACTTAGTTATAGGTCTGTGAACGTTTTGTAAAAATATTTACACTGGAATTTGCTAGAGGTCTTAACAAACTCATATAAAGATGCTTTCTAATGCTGGAGAGGACTCTAATTCAACTTCTCCACAGCCCTTTTTCCAAGAGTCCCCTGGAATGGTAGAAAGACTGGACACTCTCCACCAGAGTAACTACCACTTCTCTTAACAGAAGGTAATTGCAGTGACTCAAAATTTTTTATCTATAGGATAATATTCCCAAAGAATTGTGCTAAGTAGGCGAAAATCATTCATTTGGTTTCTCTTCACCTTTTTCCTTGGTATTGTAATATTTTTCATAGTGGAAAATAATTTGGGGATTAAGTATGCATAGTTGGAAATAGTTCTTTGGAACTCTTCAGGCATCTAGAGTGATCTGCTTCCTAAAGTTTTAAAAAAGATTCACAGCTACAGTTGTGCTACCAATCCAGCCTGTAGTGGAGTAAGTTAGAGTGAGCCTCTGCTGTAGTCTGGTAAACTGAGAATAATGGTGGGAGATGGAATGTTATCTTGGTTTATGTGGTTTCAGTAAGGAAATTTTAAAGGAATCTGAGTAAGGTTATACCAAGGGGTAATTAATGAAGTATCCTCTCTATGATGTATAGAATTGGTAAAGGTTTTTTCAAAGCAAGCCATTGAACTTCTCCTTACTCTTGCATTTGCTCTGTTTGTCATTACAGTTATATTTGAGTGCTTAACACTCATCGTCATTTATTTCTGAATTGTCCATTTACCTATTCTTTGATGAAAGTATAAATAGTGCTTATTTAATAGGTTTTCAGATTAATAATTTGTGTGAATATATATTACTCTTATGGTAAATAGGTAATTAATAAAATACTTAATTGCAGGAAGTACGTGCTATAAATAATTGATATGTAGATTACCTGCCATCAGTATAAACAGTGTTAACTTTTTTTTTTTTTTTTTGAGACAGAGTCTCACTCTGTCGCCTAGGCTGGAGTGCAGTGGCACAATCTCGGCTCACTGCAAGCTCCGCCTCCCAGGTTCACGCCATTCTCCTGCCTCAGCCTCCCGAGTATCTGGGACTACAGGCACCCACCACCACGGCTGGCTAAATTTTTGTATTTTTAGTAGAGATGGGGTTTCACCGTGTTAGCCAGGATGGTCTCGATCTCCTGACCTCGTGATCCACCCGCCTTGGCCTCCCAAAGTGCTGGGATTACAGGCGTGAGCCACCGCACCCAGCCGTGTTAACTGTTTTTTAAAATATTAGTTTCTTAAATTGTAAAAAGTAAGAGATGTTTCTTAAGAATTTATATGAAATCATCCCCTTAAGATTTTCAAGATTATATTTTAAATCAATTATTTTTATATTCTTATAAAACCATGGTACCTACTAATTGGTTTACCATGACTCTTCTGAGTTGTAATGTTCATATATATTCCAATGGTTTATATGCAGTTTTGTTTTGTTTTGTTTTGAGACGGAGTCTCACTCTGTTGCCCAGGCGGGAGTGCAATGGCACAATCTTGGCTCACTGCAACGTCTGCCTCCTGGGTTCAAGCAATTCTCCTGCCTCAGCCTCTCTAGTGGCTGGGATTACAGGCATGCACCACCATGCCCAGGTAATTTTTTTATTTTTAGTAGAGACAGGGTTTCGCCACATTGGCCAGGCTGGTCTCGAACTCCTAACCTCAGGTGATCCACCTGCCTTGGCACCCCACAGCACTGGGATTACAGGCGTCAGCCACCATGCCTGGCCTGTAGTAGTTTTTAAAATTACCGTCAGGGTAGCTTTATAATCATTGTTTAGTTATTGCTGTTTCCCAAATTCAGTGGATTAAAACAAAAATATAAAGAATATTTACCTAGTTTACTGGGGAATATATTCATATACCCCATTTCCTGCCGTTTTGTTGTTGATAATGACTTCGTTTGAATGGAAGATGATCCCTATAGATCAAATCGTAGTTTTTAAAATAATTTAGTAATTTAATATCCTTTAAGGTAAACTGCTTTTCCTACCACTCTTTTGTTGTTGTTGTTGTTGTTGTTGTTGTTACTATCTTTATCATGGCTTGCTTCTTCTTTTTGGTTCATGTTTCTCCTCAAATGTCACTTTATCAGAAAAACCTGCTCTCATCTGGCTATGTAAGATAGTAGCCACTATCACTCCCCGTCCCTTTGCACTGCTGGCCCCCACCCTGCCCAAGCACTAACAACTGCCTGACAGTATATGGCATATTATTGAGTGTATCGATTTCTTGTCAGTCTTCCCCAGCTAGATTGTGAGCTACTTGAGGGCAAGGGCTTTGTTTTTGGTTCACTGATGTATCCCTAGTGCCTAGAACGGTGCCTGGACGTGGTAGGTGCTTAGTAAATACTTGCTGAATGAACTAGTTGTTTCATAAAAAGCCTAAATAGCATGATAGATTTCTAGTTTTATTTTTTCCCTTAAAATATGTTCATTAATAAATTTAATGTTTAAAACAGTAGTTTCTAAATCTGGTTGTGTATCAAAATTTCTTGAGCACTTTATATATACTATATCTTCTCCTTGACTGTAAATGATGTTTTAACAGTGAGTTAGTAGCAGTTTGGGGTAGGGTTGGTGATGGAGGGCTTTAAGCTGAATCCTGAGTCTATAATACAGTATTGTTTTATCTGTGACCATAGCAAAGAGCTTGCACACTAAGTTGTCCTATATGCTACCATTAATGTTTAAGAGATATATGAGTTAGGAAGTAGGGAGGAAAGTTTAACATCCTAGAAAATGTGGTATGACCTCATAACTCTATTAAATTAGGACAGTGACAAGGAAATTCAGTTAGAAAAAATCGTATACTTGAGGCTGGGCACGGTGGCCCATGCCTGTAATCCCAGCACTTTGGGAGGCTGAGGCGGGTGAATCACCTGAAGTTAGGAGTTTGAGACCAGCTTGGCCAACATGGCGAAACCCTGCCTCTACTAAAAATACAAAAACTAGCCAGGCGTGGTGGTACATGTCTGTAGTCCCAGCCACATGAGAGGCTGAGGCAGGAGAATTGCTTGAACCCGAGAGGCAGAGGTTGCAGTGAGCCGAGACCATGCCATTGCACTCCAGCCTGCGCAACAGAGTAAGACTCATTGCAAAAAGAAAAAAAAAGTATACTTGAAGAGGAGGAAATAATACTAGTTCAACTGCATGAATTCCCAGAGTTAGGAATTATGAAGCTGCTTTGTAGAGGCAGAAAGAAGATAAAACTTTTGTAGGGGAGGTCATAGTAGAGGGCCAGATAATTTAGAGAGAATTGTCTGAATGAATGATGCAGCTGTACAAACTGAGACAAGTTGCAGTTGAGGAACAAATGAAAATCAGTGTCACAGATGGCCCAGGGATAAGGATGGGCACTGCCAGCTAGTGTGTTTGTAGAGAACTTAGCCTGTAGTTGCTTTCTGCCACACACTTTGCTCACTCTGGATGTCTCATGACATTCTTGTCAGTATAGAGCAGAGGATGGTAAGGTTTGTAAGTAATGGACTAATAATAACTATTTTAGGCTTTATAGACTGACTATAGGGTCTCTGTTGCAATTACTCATCTCTGCCATAATAGTGTGAAAGCAGTATGTAAGCAAATGAACATGGCTGTGTTCCATGAAAACTTTATTTACAAAAACAAGCAGCAGGCCAGATTTGGAACACAAACTGTAGTTTGCAAACTCCTTGTGTAGGTTAACAAAACCCACTCTTCATGATTTGAGAAAGTATTACAAGTTTTTTTTTTTTCAAGTATTGATTAAAATAAGGGAATAAACATTAAGAATCTTAAAAATGTAAGTTTTACTTAAGTAGTTATATAAACTGATATAATTGAGCTGTGTGTTGTGGTGAGCACCTGGAGTCCCAGCTACTTGGGAGGCTGAGTCAGGAGGCTTGCTTGAGCTCAGGAGTTTGAGTCCAGCCTGCGCAACAAAATGAGACCACATTTCTTAAAAAAGAACAATGAAAAACCTGATATAATTGATTTTCCTCTTGTGATTTTTTTTTTTAGCTCCCTTAAAGTATATTTTAAATCATCATGGTTTAATATTTGAATCATGGTTTTTCTTCTTTATTATTTGGTTGGTTTTGTTGGGAGAAGCGGTTGGTACTCATCCAGTTTGTACATTTGTAGAGGATTCTATACACATGTAGTCCTACATGTACACACACACACAAATTATTTAGGAATATGTACATATATATGCATCAGAGAACATAAATTAATGTTATATTTAATTGTGAAACTTATACGCAATTCAATTTTGCAGACAAATTTATGTAAGAGCAGCTTTGGAGATTAAAACTATACAACTAAATACTGAGTTTTAAGATTTTTTTTCTTTACTAAAAGCCATACTTTCTTTCTTTTTTTTTTTTTTTTTTAAAAAAAAAAAGGGCCTGTTGCTCAGGCTGGAGTGCGTGGTGCCATCATAGTTCACTGCAGCCTCCAACTCCTGGGCTCAAGTGATCCTTCCACTTCAGCCTCCCAAGCAGCTGGGACTAGAGGCATGCACCACTGTGCCCATATCAAAAGCCACACTTATACTTCATAATTTGAATTTTTATTTTAAATTAAGATTTTTGAAAGTTACTGTTTTTGAGTCCTGAGTCAATCTGTGTTCTTGGACAGTTTTTTCTATCCATCTGTAAATTGTTTTATTTGCCTTCTTTTCAAATTTAGAGCTAGAAATAGAGCCAGTATTCTTATGGTCTGCAAAATCATGTTTCCATTGTCTAAGTTATATACAACCCATTTAATATAGTAAATTGTTAGTTATCCTTGTATTCTTCCTACATCATGAAAGTGCCAGGCGGGTGGATCATCTGAGGTCAGGAGTTTGAGACCAGCCTGGCTAAGATGGCATAACTCCTCTACTAAAAATACAAAAAATCAACTGGGCATGGTGGTGAGTGCCTGTAATCTCAGCTACTTGGGAGGCTGAGACAGGATAATTGCTTGAACCCGGGAGGCAGAGGTTGAAGTGAGCTGAGATCTCACATTGAGATCTCACTCTGTCTCAGAAACAAAAAGTGCCAGGTAATTCTTGGAAGGCATGGATCAAGATGTTATTTTGCCCTGTGATCATGGATAATCCCAGTCTGTGGTCATTGACTGTCCAGGGAATACTGTTTACTTACAGGAAAATATACTATCAGGTAATGAAAGAGGGACATTTAATGACCATATTTGACTCCTGTTTTAAACCAGATGCCTATTATTATGTATTATTGTTTAAACTAATGACAACAAAAGGTAGTAAGCCTATAAATAAAGGAATATATTTGTGCCATCATATATAACACTTGAGCTTATATGTATTATGAGCATATATGTGTGAGGCCTAGTCATTGTAATTTTTCTTTAGCTATGAAAATCACGTTTCCCATTTCTATTCAGAATGTGAGCTTCAATAATTAAGATTTTTAAAATCTTTTGTGTTCCTTAGAGATCTCAATTAAAATGTCCAAATAGGGCCGGACATAGTGGTGGCTCACACCTGTAATCCCAGCACTTTGAGAGGCCAAGGCAGGTGGATCACAAGGTCAGGAGTTCGAGACCAGCCTGGCCAACATATTAAACCCCGTCTCTAGTAAAAATACAAAAATTAGCCAGATGTGGTGGTGCGCGCCTGTGGTCCCAGCTACTAGGGAGGCTGAGGCAGGAGAATCACTTGAATCCGGGAGGCAGAGGTTGTGGTGAGCTGAGATTGCACCACTGCACTCCAGCCTAGGTGACAGGGTGAGACTCCGTCTCAAAAAAAAAAAAAACAAAGTCCAAATAGTGGAGATCAGGTAAATACTCATTTGGGTTTCAATATGGAAAATGGTTATTTCATTTTAAATATTTCAACAACTTCGTGAAAGTTGTGCCTACTACGTTTTAGTTTGAGAGCAAAAAAAGCACTTCAGTATGTTAACATCAGTAAAAACAGTAATATATAACTTTTAAAAACTAGAGCATGGTATAGCTTTATGAATAATCAGATTTGGATCACAACGTTATGGAGCCATTTACTTCATAACTCCAAGCAGAGAGTAGCAGGGAAATCTCTATTTTTAATACAATATATGTTACAAAATGTTTCCAAGTGCGTGGTTAGGTAGGTATATTCTTAGAGAATAAATCATATGAAATATTAAAGCAGGTTATGATTCTCTTTGGTCTTTTCAGTCCTTGGTGGTTAAAACTTAAGAAATGATTCATGCCTCTGATAAGGTGAAGGGAATGTTGTATTGCTTAAGAGAGCACTGCATATCCAAAGGAAATGGAAGAGTTGTTTTTCTTCTCTTAAGGAATTTGTCAAAGTTATTACAAATCCTGCATCAAGTAGTCACAAGTGTACTAGCCACTGTACCATTTAAGTTGGAGATTACTTGAAAAGCATGGCATTTCTCTTACCTTTGAGTAGTCCGATTTGCTTTGTACTGTTAACTCTTAGATAAATGGTGAAATATGGATGGTTTTTATGAATTGTTTCTTGTTCAGATGAGAGATCTCCAGCTGCTCAGTATGTAGACCTATTGCTGAACCCAGAGCGTTACACTGGCTATAAAGGGACCTCTGCATGGAGAGTGTGGAACAGCATCTATGAAGAGAACTGTTTCAAGTAACTGGAGGGGGTGGGGGAAGAAGGAACAACTGATAAAGAGAGGGTGGGGAGAGGCCAGGTGCTGTGGCTCACACCTGTAATCCCAGCACTTAGGGAGGCTGAGGCGGGTGGATCACCTGAGGTCAGGAGTTCAAGACCAGCCTGGCCAACATGGTGAAACCCCATCTCTACTAAAAATACAAAAAATTAGCTGGGCGTGATGGCAGGTACCTGTAATCCCAGCTACTTGGGAGGCTGAGGCAGGAGAATCGCTTGAACCCGGGAGGCGGAGGTTACAGTGAGCAGAGATCACGCCATTGCACTCCAGCCTGGGTGACTAAGTGAAACTCTTGTCTGAAAAAAAAAAAAAGAGAGAGGGTGGGGAGGGGAGTATTTGTTTCTACTGGAATAAAATTATACACTATAAAAATTAAACCATTTTATGTTCGGGTATTATGCTTTCTTTTTCAGGCCTCGATCTGTTTATCGTCCTTTAAATCCTCTGGCACCTAGCCGAGGTAGGTTTTTCCTATGTACATTTTCACGCTTTTCATTGTTTATAAAATGTCTTTATAACTAAACTTTATATTGAAAAAGCTTTCATTTTTATATTTTGTTTAATTTGAATGATGAACAAAAAGTATAAGATTAATTCATAGTCAAGTCTTGAGATTTCTAGGCATGTTGTTTTACATAATTACTGTCATTTATTGTGTGCCTGCTCTGTGCCAGACCCTGAACTAGGAAGTTTATGTAAAATAATTAAAATATGTGAGTAAGAAATATATATCAAAGATTTCCTGGGGACTTCTTGAAAAATCTGGATTCTCAGGCCCTACACTATACTAATTAAGTCAGAATCCTTGGAATGAGAACAGCAGGCATTGGTATTTTTTAAACTCTCCAGATGGTTCCAGTATGCAACCAAGTTTGACAGCCAATGTCTCGTAACTGCTTCTAAGACTTCAGCGTGCGTACAAATCACCTAGGAGCCTTGGTAACACGCAGGTTCTGATTCTGTAGATCTTGTATGAGGCCCAACAGTCTAACATGCTCCCAGGTACTGCCTCAGGTGCCGACTCATGTGCCACACTTTGAGTAGGAAAAATGAGAAACGTAGGCTGCCTTTAGCAGTGCTCTATATCTGTACTGTCCAATAAAGTAACCAGTTTCCACATGGGACTGTTGAACACAAAATTTGGCTAGTGTGAAACTGAATTTTAAATTTTATTTAATCTTAGCTTATTTAGATGTAAAAATTGTATTGGTGTTGGACAGAACCTTATTGTTTTGGTAAGTGGTAAGACTACTACAACCTATGTGTCATGTAACATATTTTTGTTGTAGTGTGTGTATACTTTTGAATTTTAAAAATGTGTCTATTAGAAACATTTTAAGTTAACACCTGTGTCTGGCATTATATTTCAATAGAACAGCTTTACTGTCATCAGTGGGTACATCCTCATTCTGTTCTCAATGAGGAGCCAAACCCTGGGAGCAGCTCTGTAATTGACCTCCATTCCAGTGTTTCCTTTAGATGGGGAGTGTTTTAAGAAATTTGATTTCCTGATCTAAATTTGTATCTTTAGACCTTTCTGAGAACCAAATAGACTTGGAAGGGTTGACTGCATAGACTGCTTTTTCATGCTCACTCTATCACAATGTGGCAAATACTCGTTTTCCCCAAATTCACATTGAAACTGCCTGGAGAAGGAAGTTGGTCCTGAAAAAGATGTGCCTGGCTTCTTATCCTTTGTCTCTTTTACTACTTTTGCTTCACAACTTTTCTGTTTTCAACTTAAAGGTTTTAATTCCACAACATTTTGTAAAAAATTGAAGCAATATAATAGTTACATAAAGTGAAAAGGGAAAGCTCTTCTATTCCATAGTACAGAGTTTGAAAGGTGTTCTTCCAGACCTTTCCTACAGCCACTTAATACTTTTAAAGCAGAAAATACAATTTTTCACTTAAGAAAACCATCAAGTCCTAAGAAACACTTTACTTGCATGTTAGTGATATATTGGAGACATAACATTTTATGCTGGAAAGATGAGAAACAGGAAACCTACTACATAGAAAAAGAGGAAGGGAAGAGGAGACAAGAAGAAAAATGAAATATGAAAGAAGACAAGACTAGGTAAAGAGAATGGTTCCTAGCTGTTATAGGAGTACTCTATGTAGTAATAGCTCTTGCTCATGCTATTTACATGCTATCTCCATTGAAATTGGTTGATTAATAGTTCTTTAATCTTCTTAACTCTTTCTTCCACGTTTCTGAGTCATAACCCGTAGGCTTATACAACTATTTTCTAACAGGTTTTGAGCAATAGGAACTTTTGTCCAAAAATGAAATCTCGCTTCAGAACCCACATAATAAAGCTGATAGGCAGAGCTGCCGTGTAGCCCTAGAGCCCAGCCTCTGGCCTCTTCCCCACCTCTCGGCCTCCCGGAAGCAGCACCTTGCCCAAGGCTTTCACTGATTACAGTTCGGGATGTACTGTCATTAAGGCCTATCTCTGCTGAGGAGCAGTAATTTAAAAGAGAAAAATATTCCAGGATGGAAACAGGAGTGTTCAGAGAGGATTGTGTGCATAATGATTAAAGGAGCAACTTTATATAGTAATTAATTATTGAAAATAGTGGTCTTAATGACTATTTTTAGTTGCTTTCTGGTATTTTATTATTTATTGTATTTTAAAACGTGCAAATCTTTTTTTTTCTTTTCTTTTCTTGAGACAGAGTTGCGCTCTGTTACCCACGCTGGAGTGCAGTAGTGTGATCTTGGCTCATTGCAACCTCTGCCTCCTGGGTTCAAGCAGTTCTCTGCCTCAGCCTCCGAGTAGCTGGGATTACAAGGTGCCCATCACCACGCCTGGCTAATTTTTTGTATTTTTAGGAGACATGGGGTTTCACCATCTTGGCCAACCTGATCTTGAACTCCTGACCCCTTGGTCCTCCCAAAGTGCTGGGATTACAAGCCTGAACCACCATGCCCAGGCTTCTTTCTTTCTTTATTTTTTTTAGATGGAGTTTTGCTCTTGTTGCCCAGGCTGGAGCACAATGGCACGATCTTGGCTCACTGAAACCTCCGTCTCCTGGGTTCAAGTGATTTTCCTGCCTCAGCCTCCCAAGTAGCTGAGATTACAGGTGCATGCCGCCATACCTGGCTAATTTTTGTATTTTTAGTAGAGACGGGGTTTCACATGTTGGCCAGGCTGGTCTTGAACTTCTGACCTCAGGTGATCCACCCTCCTCGGCCTCCCAAAGTGCTGGGATTACAGGCGTGAGCCACCGCGCCTGGCCAAAATGTGCAAATCTTACACTCTTTGGCCTATATTCTGATTAAGAGACTCATTTGCAGGATGTCTACTCAGTGACCAAGGTTCGTAATATAATTAATAGTTTAACAGTTTTAATCTCAAGCTATGTAAGACATTTTCTAAAATTTTTTCTATTATTCTCTCTTTTAGGCGAAGATGATGGTGAGCAAAACTCATGTTTGTGTTTGCTTCAAGTGTGGAGGAAATTTTTTTAACAATCAGAATTTGATTTTTCCTTTATGTAATTCAAAAGAAAGTATTCCTGTTTTCTAAGAAAATAACTACTAATGAATAGTGACCAAAAAAAAAAAAAGATTATTTTATATATATAAAGTTATCCTATGTTAAAAAAAAAAAAAAAGACCATTTTTCCTAAATGCTTAGTTTGTAAATCAGGTCACATTACAAGTTCCCCATTTTCTGGTTATTATATAATTTACTTGAATATGTTCTGAGGAGTGGGGAGAAAGAATTAAGGTAGTTTTACCAGATAATTTGTCTTGTGACCTCTTTATTTTCTTATTGACTTTGAAATTTCTAATCTCAGGTATCAATATAATACTTAATTTGATGACGAGCAGTTTATAAACAATTGATTACTGAATGAATGCTGGTTAAAAGATACCCCCAAAATAGCCAAAATAATTATTTAAACTGAATGTTTACCTGTGTTCAGGGGCACTGATGGGCATTGTCTAGGGTAGGAAAGTATTTAAAACATGGTGCTTTCCCTCTAGGAGCTGAGGATATATAGGATAGTAGGAAAGATAAGCACTGTACATAAACAATGGTAATGAGGTAAAAAAATACTCCATACCTGGTACAAACGGTAGATGATATATAGCTCCTTAGAGGAGAAAGAGATCGTATCTCACGGGAGAGATGTGGGAAAGCTTACTGGAGGAGGTAGCATTTGAGGTGAATTTTGAATAATGGGACACATTTAGATCCATAGAATTGGATAGTACATGTTGGAGGAAACAGCATGAAGCTGGGAGTTGAGAAAGTCAAGCATGTTTGGGGAGACAGTAAAGAGACCCTTTTTAGCGGTAGGTAAGACTATACAGTGGTAGTTTAAGTTAGATTGATAGAGGCCATATGTTATATTTTTTAGTACGTTGGGTACTAGACTTTTCCTGTTGGCACTGAGGTTTTCTGAATCACAAGTGATATAATGATAAGTGATCCTTACTATATGTTGAATGAATTAATTTGCTAGATGTTTTCATTGTTGTGCAAAATATGAAGACTCTCAGTAAGCAAAGTAATTCCCCACCATCTAATTTATCCCTAGACTCCTTACTCAGCTCATCTGAGTGTTCTGTTTTTCTATAATTTCTATCGTTCTCAATTAAAAAAAAAAAAAACAGAATAGGTAACTCAGGAAGTGCATTAACAATTTTGATCCTTATTGACTGCTCTCTTTTCTTTCTTTTTCCCCCACTCTGAAGAAGGTTATAGGGCCAGGAATAGTTTTTTTTTTTTAAGTTGACAAAAATTATATATTTTTATCATGTTTAACATGTTTTGAAATATGTATACATTGTGGAATGGGTATATTGAGCTAATTAGCTCACATACTTACCATTTTTTTGGCCTAAACACTTTAAATCACAACAATTTTCAAGAATACAGTACATTGTAATTAACTACAGCCACCATGTTTTACAATAAATCTCTTGAACTTACCCCTTTTCTTTAACTGAAATTTTGTACCCCTTGACCAGCATCTCCCCATCCCCAGGAATGTTCTTCAGCATTTAGTACACAGATTAGTCAAGCCCTTCTGTGTTATATTAGTATTAACTTTCCTGAAGAATTATATCGAAAATTAAGAGATTTTCTTAGCTGCCCCTTAAAACCTTATTAGTCTTAGAAAATTGAGGAAATATTTGGCCGGGTGCGGTGGCTCATGCCTGTAATCCCAGCACTTTGGGAGGCCGAGGCGGGCGGATCACGAGGTCAGCAGATCGAGACCATCCTGGCCAACACGGTGAAACCCAATCTCTACTAAAAATACAAAAAAATTAGCCAGGCGTGGTGGCGGGCACCTGTAATCCCAGGTTCTCAGGAGGCTGAGACAGGAGAATGGCGTGAACCCGGGAGGTGGAGGTTGCAGTGAGCCAAGATTGCACCACTGCACTCCAGCCTGGGTGACAGAGCGAGACTCCATCTCGGGGAAAAAAAAAAAAAAAAAATTAAGGAAATATTCTTAGTTTTATTGGATTAGGAAAAGTGGAATAATCAATAGTTTGATGTTTGTGTTAATTATAATTCACTGTTTTTTTGGAATATTTAAAAAGCACTATGGTTGTTATGAAAAGCAAATTTGAGATTGTTAAAATGTTTGTTCCATGTTTTCAGATATTTACACCTTCAATGAATAAGATTTATATACTTTTTTTTTTTTTTTTTTAAAGAGGCAGGATCTCGCTATGTTGCCCAGGTTGGATCCAAACTCCTGGGCTCAAGCAATCCTTCCCCCTCAACCTTCTGAGTTAACTGGAACTACAGGTCCAAGCCACTGTCCCCAGCTCATAATATTTTGACTGAAATGTTTTCTTAAAAAATTTAATAGTCAAAATATTTATAAAAACACTCACTTAAAGTTACTTAAATTATTTGTAGGCTTTATTTCCTAGAACCATATGACTGTTTTTCTATTTTACCTGAAGCAGTAGACATTTTAGAGAGATTACTTAATCTGTCATTTTTATTTTTTATTTATTTATTTTTTTGAGACAGGGTCTCACTCTATCATCCAAGCTGGAGGGCAGTGGTATGATCTCGGCTCACTGCAACCTTAGCCTCCTGGGTCCAAGCAATTCTCCTGCCTCAGCCTCCCTAGTAGCTGGGATTACAGGCCTGCACCACCATACTCAGCTAATTTTTTGTATTTTTAGTAGAGATGGGGTTTCGCCATGTTGGCCAGGCTGGTCTTGAACTCCTGTCCTCAAGTGATCTGCCCACCTCGGCCTCCCAAAGTGCTGGTATTACAGGCATGAGCCACCATGCCCTGCAGCCTGCAGAAATATTTTATAAACTAATTTATTCTACTTTATAAATGACCATATAATATTTTAATCCACTTTTCTTTCTTTCTCAGGAGAATCATTCTACACATGGCTAGAAGGTAAACAGTCTGTTCTAAATTTATTGGATTTTTTGTAAAAAATACTGATTTATTTAGCATATTTTTGTAAGGTCTAGGATTTTATTACCTAGTCAACTAATTTTCACAGTGTTTGAAAAAAATGTGTTTTAGGTTAACATATTGGGATACAATTATGTGAAAATTTTGAAGGTAGTGCTCAGCTAAAAACCAGGTTTATATAAATACACAGGCCAAATAGTGTCATCAGGTTTTCATAACTGTTTCCCTAATCTTATTTCTGTTCTGTATATAATGTTCATTCAAGCTACTTCTCTAGTAACAAGTAATGCAAAATATTTTAAAAGTGGAGACATTCCTTTTGGAAGGAAGTACTTTTTATATATAAAATTAATGGAAGATAAATATGAATTCAAAAGGTTCAAAACATGTTTGCCATGTTAATATAGTCTAACCTTGTCTAATTAAAAGATAAAGCAATACAGATCCTGATGTATTATATGCTTTTGCATTCTTTTACTTCCAGTGTTGTAAATATTAAATGCTATTAATGGAAAGGTGAAATGTTGTAGGATTTTAATAACTTAGGTTAATAATTGGATATATAATGCTTTTAAAAATTTACCTTACCAAATTGCCATTAGTTTATGAAATTAAAAATTAAAATATATTAGTAACAGATAAGTAAGTTGAATGACATAGGAAAATTGATATTTCATAGCCATAACCTTTTAGGAGTACTATGGAGTAAAACTAATTCTATTTTATGCATGTCATTTGGTCATGTTATCTTATGAATATTACTTCTTTTTTTTTTTTTTTTTTTTTTTTTTGAGTCAGAGTCTCGCTGTCGCCCAGGCTGGAGTGCAGTGGCACCATCTCGGCTCACTGCAACCTCTGCTTCCCAGGTTCAAGTGATTCTCATGCCTCAGCCTCCCAAATAGCTGGGATTACAGGCACCTGGCACCACACTTGGCTAATTTTTGTATTTTCAGTAGAGTTTCGCCGTGTTGGCCAGGCTGGTTTGAACTCCAGGCCTCAAGTGATCTGCCCACCTCAGCCTCCCAAAGTGCTGGGATAACAGGTGTGAGTCACCACACCTGGCCTATTTCTTTGTTTGCGATGAACTATGTGCATACATTGGCCATTATTAAGGTGAACATTATTGATGTGCAAATTCTGTTAGGAATATATGAGAAAATCACTTATGTAGAAGATGTTTAGCTTTGTTTAATAAGCTCTACTCTAAAGATACAAATTGTGGAAAGTAGCATTTAGGCTAGAAGAGGTAGTCAGAGACTCTGAGTGTTAGTAATGAGAATGAAATTTAGAAACAATGTTGGATTCTATGTATACTATATCAACCATTCTTCCAGTCTTACTGTTGGGAGTACCTGAATATTGATCTGTGGTTCCAAAGAGCATTCCCTCATAGGCAACTGGCTCAGTCTTTTCTGAGATTCAGTTTCCTCATCTGGAGTGTGGAGAGGAGCAATAGCAATCCTACTAACTTACACTGTGAGTGTAGATGATGTCTGTAAAGATTCCTTTGGAAACCACGAATCCATGTCCAAATGCCCAATGTTACTGTTACAGTAAATGCAGCACCTTTCTGAGAGTTCAGGTGCTGAAAATGAATTTTAATGAAATTAAATCAAAAAGAGGAAGAAGAGAACCATTTTCTAAGTTGTGTAACTGAATTGCTCTATGTTGTTAGAAGTTGGTGGATTCTGCCTTGGTAAGTCAGCTTTTGCAGATGTTACTTCAGAGTGAGATTGAGAAGGCTTTTGCCTGGACCTCCGTAATTAAAGATACCCTGCAGCCTGGCACAGACTGTATGTAGGCCAGGAGAAGCTCTCCAGCAATTTCCTGCTGAGTGTGTTGTGTGTCTGGGTGCACTTAGTTGGTGCATTATTTTTTATTAATATGGTTGAAGTTACCTGTTTTTCACAGTTTGTGGAAATACATTTCTATTTCTCTCCCCTCACTTATCCTCTGCCTCATTTCAGTGTAGGGCTTTGTGGGCTTTGCAAATTATAACTGCCTCCCAGTTTTCCAGGTCCTGGTTTGTAGGCATATGGATTTTCATGAGTTTTGCTTTGCTTACTGTCCCTTCTCTAATCTTTATCCATTTTATTGGACATAAGCACCGCTTAGAGAGAGAGGTCGGGAAGAAAACAAAGTGAACTTCATATCTGATATTTTGTTACTTGATAATAGATTTGATGAAAAGTTTTAGTAGAAGAGAAGTTAGTACTTAATGTTGTATTAAATATATTGTTTGTATCCATTGTTATCATAAACATTCAAAATTGCCATATACTTTTAGGGAGGAAGCTACAAAATAAAATTTAATTTCTTTTGGTCCCCATCCATGACAATTTGAATATTCTAGCAAGAATTCCCAATTAGGGAACGAGATCTCAAAAGAATTATTTTTTTCCAATTAGAGGCCATGTGCTTCAGAGTCATCTGTGATAGGACAGAAAGAGAGTGAATTGCTAAAAAATTTTAATAGACACAAAACCACATAAATACTCTTATATTAAAAAAAAATTCCCCCAGCATATAAATGATACTATTTTACTTTCCACTGTTAAAGCCCATTTCCCTGCATGGGGAAAGTGTTAAAAACCTGTTGGATGAAGGAGGGAAAAGCAAATGGCCCTGTATCCACTGACTTCTTAAAATTTTCTGCATTTTTATTTTAAAAATTTCCTGTAAAGAATATTACTTTTCTGAAGAACTTCTTTTATTGTGGTGAGGTATATATAACATAGAATTTACCATCTTGATCATTTTTAAGTTTATTGTTTAGTGGCATTAAATACATTCACAATGTGCATTACTCCTATTATGAGAGAAGATCTTTTAAAATGGGAGCAGGGGTTAGGATAGGATGACCGGCTCTCTTGACCTCTTAAGTTCTCAGCAAAAAAGCCCGTGTGGCTTAAGACTCCATCAAATAACGTTCTCTTCCGTTCCTGTACTCCACTGATATGATTCCACCCAAGCAGTAAATAGTCAACATGTATTTTTTTTTTAATTAGTTGAAATTTCTGGATTTCTGTTTTCCAAATTTCAGCTCCTTACAAGTAGAACGTATGGTTAAAAAATTAGACAATTCCAGGGCAGAAGGTTAATAAAACCCTTATTTCTCTGCTAGCAAATAACACATATAAGGAAGGGGGGAAAAATCCAGCAGTGACTTTATAATTACATTTGCTTTAGTAAGTTCTTAGCCTAAACAACAAGAAACCCCGTGCTGTTGCTGTCGGAGTAACATGGGAACTTGCCAACTTTATCCATAGTGTTTTGACTCCCAGTTGCTCAAACTTTTCTTTTTTCAGCATTAAGTTCTCATCATATTCAGTTAACTTCATTCTGAAGCCAAAATCTTATGTTGCCTTCTATTGAAAAAATCTTGATCTAATCAGTTTTATATTATTCCTTGATTTATTATAATGTTCTTCAATCAAAAATAAGCTTACATACTAAACCTCCTTGAGTCAATATTTCTGATATCTAAATAGGTGTGATTTCTTTTTCAATATTTTTCTGAATAGGTTTGTGTCTGGAGAAAAGAGTCTTCTATAAGCTCATATCAGGACTTCATGCTAGCATCAATTTACATCTATGCGCAAATTATCTTTTGGAAGGTAATCATATTTTTAAGTGATTTTGCCTTCTATTAGTGTAAAAATTATTAGAGGGAATACATATTCTTTAGAGCAGAAAAAAAAAATCCTATTTACTAAAATAATGTAATGTATTTCTCTTTCTCTTTAGAAACCTGGGGTAAGCCCAGTTGGGGACCTAATATTAAAGAATTCAAACGCCGCTTTGACCCTGTGGAAACCAAGGGAGAAGGTCCGAGAAGGCTCAAGAATCTTTACTTTTTATACTTGATTGAGCTTCGAGCTTTGTCAAAGGTGGCTCCATATTTTGAGCGCTCAATTGTCGATCTTTACACTGGAAATGCAGAAGAAGATGCTGACACAAAAACTCTTCTACTGAATATCTTTCAAGATACAAAGTAAGAATTGACTATCCGTGATTTGAAATTCTCCTCTCTGTATTCAAATGAGGTAGCACTTAAAGCACAAAAACTGACCCCTAACAGTTAAGCAAGGGGAGATGTAGAACAGAAGAGGAAAGTGATCAATAGAACAACAGAATTTAAAAATATTTCTGAAAATGTTGATGAAAAAGCATCAATAAGGCTTTTTTTTTTTTCTAGAAATTTTCACACTTGAGAATAGTGCTTTAAAATATCACTAAATTTTATGTAGTATCAAAATTTAGTGCTACTTTAATGGTCTTTCTACCAATTTTGTATTCTTCTAGTCACTTTATTTACTTACTTATTTTTGAGACAGAGGCTTGCTCTGTTGCCCTGGCTGGAGTGCAGTGGCACGACCTTGGCTCACTGCAGCCTCTGCCTCCCAGGTTCAAGCAATTCTTGTGCCTCATCCTCCTGAGTAACTGAGATTACAGGTATGTGCCATCACACCCAGCTAATTTTTGTATTTAGTAGAGATGGGGTTTCACCATGTTGAACAGGCTGGTCTCAAGCTCCTGGCCTCAAGTGATCCATCCTCCTCTGCCTCCCAAAGTGCTGAGATGAGAAGCGTGAGCCATCGTGCCTGGCCTCTAGTTACTATATTTAAATTTAGGTGATACTATACGTGTGTTTGCATTGGGGTGGATATGTAAGGAAACATTGGCCTTACCTCCTAGAATATAACCTTTTAAACAAAACACTTGGTCAAGAAAACTCAAGTTTACTGGTTTTTAAAATAAGCATGGAGGAGAAAGATTAAGAAGTGTTTAAAGTAAATTATATATTAAATTTTTAAAGAATATTAAGAGAATATTGCCTATTTTTTACATAGATTGTTTTCAGTTAATTTTTTAGATTATGTCATTTATTTAAAACATTACAGTATTATCAAATTTAACAGCCATCTGTGTCTTGCTTTAGTCTTTTATGAAATAGTTTATGTGTGAACTGTTTGTCAGTTTTCTACATTACCAAACCTTAAATCAGAGTAAATAATGAATTTTAAAGATTTGTAAGGATAGAAAATTTTATCAGATTTCTGATACAGAGTACGTGGATTTTTCATGTGTAACTTATTACAATACTATCATTTTATCAGGTCCTTTCCCATGCACTTTGATGAGAAATCCATGTTTGCAGGTGACAAAAAAGGGGCCAAGTCACTAAAGGTAAAAAGTTCTTGACTGGGACATGGGGTTAGGAGCAGCTTGCTGGTTATGTTTTAACGCTGTTCATCTAAACTATTTTCTTTTCCAGTTTTCCAGCTTGTCAAAGTTGGTCTGATTTGATTTTACCACAAATGGTACAAAAAGCCTTTTCCATATTTCTTTCTCAGTTCCTATTGACCAACTGCTTAGTGAATCGTTGGTCATTAGTATGTCCTATAACACCTTTATAAATGTCTTTTTAAAAGATACTAGTTGAGGGAAAGTTTTCTTTATTTAAAATCAGTGTATATTGTTGTTTTGATGCAGCTTTCAAAATACCATGAGCTTTTAGCCACTTTGAGGGCAATAAATAACATATTTTTCTAAAGCTTATTTTATAGAATGTTACAGTTTTTGAAACTATTATGTTGTTGTCCCTTTGGACTAACTTAAAAGGTAAAAACTACCTGTTAACCTGTGATATCAAAAGGAGAATGTTTTCGGAACATTACCAAACTTTATGTTAGGTGTTCTTTATTTTCATTTGCTTAAAGTACATTAAGAAACACATTGTACCCTTAAAATGTTTATAAAAGTATTTGAAATTGGCAAATACTTTTTTTTTTTTTTTTAGTTTTAAATTTATTTTTTGAGACGGGGTCTCGCTATGTTGCCCAGGCTGGTCTCAAACTCCTGGCCTCAAGCTGTCTTCCCACCTCAGCCTCCCAAGTACCTAGGATTACAGGCACGAGCCACCATACCTGGCCACAAATGATCCTTGAGTACAGCTTCACAGTCATTTACATGCACTTCTGAAATCCAGGTAGTTTCAAAAACTGAAACATTTTCTCATGTTTAGTACAAGGTAATTTTTTAGCAAAACCTGACCTAAACTGATGTAAGAATATAGCAGATACTCATAGTTTTGTGGGGTTTTTTGTTTTTCAAATTCTGCTTGGTATGAATTTTTTATATTTTGCTACAGAAACATTAATGGATTTGACTGCAGGGTGTTTCCTCACACTCTGGTGAGATGTTTCATAATATATAGTACATGTATTGTATTTCTAAAATTTAAAAACTACTGAATTCTAAAACACATTTGACCCCAAGATGTTTTAGATGTGGATGTACTATAGGAACCAATAAATCAATACTGAGTGATTCTCCATTGGTGAGACTTTCTTGGTATTTCTGAAATAAGTAATTTAGTCACAACTATATTTTAGTGTTGGAAGATTGTTTTATTTTACAGTTGTTTTAGAGGTATATTGCCATTTTGGTATTTAATATGTTAATTCATTTTTATAATGAATTTTTAATTTATAATGAATTTTATAATTCATTTTATAATGAATTTTTATAATGCTTCCTGTTTTCTAAGTATTGACACATATGTTCTACTTTTAATCTTCAGAATGATCTTGTGTAATAGGGCAACTATAATTATGGATGTTTTTGTAGATGAGGAAAGTGAGATAAGCAAAGCCTAAGAGTCTCACAACAAGTTTTTAACTACACAATGCTGGGATTGTGTTTGCTGTTTGTCAAGAATGTATGAAGGAGAACCTATGTCCATTTTCCATCTGCTGCAAAGAACTTATATTACATGAGAATATGACCAGCACAGGACTTTTTGTGTTCTATTTATATTGTCTTTCTTTGCAAAGGTATTGATTCCTTTCAACCCTTTGGCAGCTAGTCAGGGCTTGTGGTAGCCAGAGTTTTCAGGCTACTTGCCTCCAGCTTCATGCAATAAAATAGTTCCCTCAATGCAATAAAATGATTTTTATTTTCTACAGTTGCCATGTGAAACAAATGAGGAAATTTTCTCTTAACCAATCTTATCCGCAGATAAGGTGAGACCAACCTTAAAGGCATATTGCACACAAATGCTTACAGGCAGGAGAATTTCCCCAGTGTAGGAAACTTTTTTGAGACAGAATTTCACTCTTGTTGCCCAGGCTAGAGTGCAGTGGTGTGATCTTGGCTCACTGCAACCTCTGCCTCCCGGGTTCAAGCTATCCTTCTGCCCCAGCCTCCCAAGTAGCTGGGATTACAGGCATATGCCACCACACCTGGCCAATTTTGTATTTTTAGTAGACATGAGGTTTCACTGTGTTATTTAGGCTGGTCTCGAACTTTTGACCTCAACTGATCCACCTACCTTGGCCTCCCACAGTGCTGGGATTACAGGTGTGAGCCACCATGCCTGGCTAGTGTAGGAAACTATTACAGCAAAATAGAGGGATCCAGCAAGCATCTCCATAAAAACTGCATTGGCAAACATAGAGGACTGTGGGACCATATGTGTCACACAGGCCTGTTATCATTCATGTTGATTCAGCAACCATGACAAACATACATAGTATGGTACTAAGGAGTGATACAAAAATTGATTTTTGTTCTAGGACTAGCTTTCTGATACAGGCTTACACAAAGCAAAGAATCAAAAATAAGTGAAACATACACTAGACATATTTATTGTTGGTTGTATATAGATAACAAATGGAAGCAGCAATTAAGTTCCTTAAAAGTAAAGACCATGTATTATTTACTTTTGTGTCTCCCATAGTGCATATTTTGGTGCTTTGCATAAAGTAGCTCCTAAGTGAAGAGTTTATTGAATTAATATGCAGAATGAATTTTGTAATTTCCATTGATGTCAGTATTTTATGTGCCATGTTATATAAGTTCAAATATTTTTCTTTACTGTTGCAAAACACAACTCAGGTTGGGTATGGTGGCTCACACCATAATCTTAGCACTTTGGGAGGTCGAGGTGGGTGGATCATTTGAGGTCAGGAGTTCAAGACCAGTCTGGCCAACATGGCAAAACCCCGTCTCTACTAAAAATACAGAAATTAGCTGGACATAGTGGCATGTGCCTGTAATCTGAGCTACTTGGGAGGCTGAGGCAGGAGAATCCCTTGAACCTGGGAGGTGGAGGTTGCAGTGAGCCAAGATTGCGCCACTGCACTAGCCTGGGCGACAAAGCAAAACTCCTTCTCAAATGAAAAACACAACTGCTTTATTAATAAGCATCAAAACTTATCATTTAGCCAAATGCAGTTCAATTTTAAAAGTCTAATTAGACTGAAAAATTTTGTGCTTGCTAGGAGGAATTCCGATTACATTTCAAGAATATCTCCCGTATAATGGACTGTGTTGGATGTGACAAATGCAGATTATGGGGAAAATTACAGGTACATGTACTGTCTTCTCTTTTGAAGCCATTGCTAACCTTTATTTTTTCCACTGAGTGCAAGCTTTTTATTAAAATGTCCTCATTGTTCATTGAATTAGAATTTAGAAATAGGCAGATCCAAAGTGTTTTTTCTGTTGATGAAATTTATTAAGGTATATGTGTTACATGTATGTGAAAGGATGTTTCTCATATTATTCTTTAGTGATTTTAGTTTCATTGTGTCTGTGTTTCTATTGGTATGATACCAGATTCATTTGTGAAGTTGGTGGTCATTACGAACCGAGTATATTTGTATTTTACATATGTATATAGAAAGGTAAAATGTAATTATATAAAAAGATTGAAATATCAAGTCTTGGTCGTTGAATTTGTTTAAATGAGCAAAAGAAGGTCACTTAGTGACAATAGGAAAGCTCCGTATGACAGGTCTGTTACTCTGTGTAAGCCAGTGTCAAAGGATTGGTGAATATTTTCTCTTTTTCTTACAAAGCTGATAATTCATAGGAAATTAAGCGACAGAATTATTACAATGGAGGGAGGCTACACTGAAATCAAATATGTCTTTTTCTATAGTGCTAATAATTGAGAAATTATTAAGTGTAGGTATCATTAATCTCTGAGTTTTCAATTGCTAAAAGCTGTAAAAAAAACCCTTTATGGTTACAAATTGAGCATTGTAATCCTAATATGATATTTTCAAGGTTAAAAAAGGCATTTTAATAATTTGGAATAGTATGATATATATTCAATTAAGCGTTAGACTATTCAGGTTTCCTTAACAGCTCAGATATGTTTATCATATGCATAACCTGTGAGAAAGTAGAAACTATAGTAACATTTTTGTGAAAAGCTCAGTTCATAGGAATTTTCTAACTGTCATAACAGTGGCTATATATTCCTTTAAGCCTTTCTACTAGTTATTATTATATAAAGTTAATTATGAGTTTATTGGTATTTTCTTTAGACTCAGGGTTTAGGAACTGCCCTGAAGATATTATTCTCTGAAAAAGAAATCCAAAAGCTGCCAGAGAATAGTCCATCTAAAGGCTTCCAGCTCACCCGACAGGAAATAGTTGCTCTTTTAAATGCTTTTGGAAGGTAAGAACTATTATGTGTTGAAGATTTTTGATTTCCCATTGGGTTTCAACAAACTGCAAAGATAATCTTCTCTGCTAAAAGTAGGGTTTGTTTTGCTGACAAAAAAAAAATTTGTATTGTACCTGCACTAACTTCAAGAGGCTGACAAGCCAGTTTCTCTGCAGGTCACAGGAAAATCTGAGTTTCCAACTGCCAGTGTTTTTCCGTTTGCCGCCTTAATTTTGTGAGGAAGATATTCTTCTAATATTCTTTTTACTTGGCTATCACTTGTTCAACTACAATAGCAGGAGTAAGGAATGTGTGATTGAGAAGATGATAAAAGAAAATTAAAAGCTTCATCTGCTCCTTATTTTTCTTAAATTTTCATTACTATTTTGTTCTTCTCTCACCTCTTTCCTGCAGTATGCTCTTTATTTCTGAAGCTCAGAGGTCATTTTTCTTTCACTCATTTCTACATGATTTACTTCTGTATTCAGACATATAATTTGCTTGCTTGTTTATACCACCAGTGGTTTAAAAAATAATTTGAATTTGCCGGCAGAGATACATGTAATGCCAACTGAGGAATACAGAACAGAAGGAAAAGAATCACAGAAAATAATACTGTGCCCATTCCTTGGGGAAAAAGAGAAAAAAGTCAACTTGAAGAAGAATTTAAAAAAAAAAAAAGGGGACTAAGTAATACACAGATTATTTCTTGTTTTTCTTAACATGTGTTTTAAGTTAAAAAGAAGCAGTTAAATTAAAAACAGATTTATTATATGTCCCCCCGCTTTTTTTTTTTTTAAAGAAATGAGGGTCTTGCCCTGTCATCCAGGCTGGAATGCAGTGGTGCGATCATGGCTCACTGCAGCGTCCAAATCCTGGGGTCAGGCGTTCCTTCCACCTGCGCTTCCCAAGTGGCTGGGACTACAGACACATGCTATTGTGCCTGACTAATTAAGAAAAAATTTTGTAGAGATGGGGTCTCACTTTGTTGTTCGGTCTGGTCTCAAACACCTGGCTTCAAGTGATTCTCCTGTCTTGGCCTCCCAAAGTGCTGGGATTACAGGCATGAGCCACTGTGCCTGGCCATTTCCCATCTCAATAGCAAGGATTTCACCTGTTGCTTCCCTGTATTTAAAGATGACTATGTAGGTTGAGATTTCAGGCACAGGATAGATATAGACTATCCACGAACTGGCATTTCATAAAAAATTCAGTCCACTTATGAGGCCTGTAGAAAGATAACACAGGAGATACTGAATGAAATTTAAATAAATTGAAAATTATTGTAAATAATTTAAGCATCTCTTAAGTCCAAGTTGAGAAAGATGAAAACAATTGAGAATTTCAAAACAATTGAAAATTTCTTTCAGTCTCATAAAAAATACTCACAAATGCAGCCTTTCTTGTTTTAGTTCTATATCTAGAGCTTATTACCTTTTATTGTTCCCCAGAGTAATGGACTCAGAATCAGGGGTCCTAAAGTTCTGGAATCCTGGCCTGCTCTTTAGTAGTGTATGAACTCAGGCAAATCACTGCTTTCCTAGTTTGTTTCCTGATAGTGAGATCATATATGTGATGGGCTTAGAACATTGCCTGTCCTCCTAAGTGATTAAGGAATAACTTTACTTCTATCAAATAGTTAAAGACTTTTCTTCTGTCACCCCTGAATTGTCCATAGGGATAATTGAGCTTTTAGAATTACTTTTTATATTTCCCATCCCTGAGTTTTACTTTTTGGCCTGTTCTGAGAAGCACTTCATTTGATCAGTCAGTAATCATTTATTGAATACTAGAAGCTTCCGTGGGCATGGGGCACAGGAGAGAGGCTCAACAGGAGACAGAGTAAGAGTCTCTACCCTTAGGGAGCTGATAACTAATAAGACAGATTAGTGTGTTTGGGCAACGTTGAGTGAAGAGCAATCATTCGAAGAGAAATGTGCAAAATAAATTTATTAGACCAATCGTAAATGATTTGAGATTCTTTATTAAGAATTATTCATATCACTGTTCCCATTATTAATCTTGTGTCTGCAGATAGTATGAAGTAACAGGCTTCCTTTGCCCCTTCTAAACCAATCTTAATGAGAATACTCATTGAAACATGGAAGCTTCAGTGTTTGGTGGTTTTTATTTTAGATTTTGCTTTCAAATGATAGCTTATGTAACAATATCAATAATTTGAAATATGTATGCATCATGTTAACTTTACTAATATGCTTTTTCTTTCTTCTACAGGCTTTCTACAAGTATAAGAGACTTACAGAATTTTAAAGTCTTATTACAACACAGTAGGTAATAAAGGCTTTTATGTGTCTAACTAGAGACATAAAGTGACTGTGGAAAGCCTTTTAATTATGGACATTCAGCAGAAAGAGACTAGTCTGACTTCAAGAATTCTGAACTCTTAAATAGAAAATTTAAATGCTCACTTGAATATTTATGATTCTTAATAGATTATCGACTAGAGATATTTATAAATGAAGTATATACTTTTAAAACATGTAAGTTATACTAATTCTGTGTTTAATTTCATGTGTTTTCATGTGCTGAAAATTCTATTTTTCTTAGAATTGGTTTTGTTTTTATTCTATTATCCTTTATTTCCAGTTGTCAAACTTTAGATGGCTATGTCTGCATTCTAATAACACTGTTCACAGTCTGATATGGAAAAGGAGAACTAGGGAACAAATGTTGCTTAGGGCTGGTGTCAGTGATAAAAAATTATCAATGCTTTTTAATGTGTTTTTACTCTTGCCTCACTCTGTGTGTGTCACTTTCTATAATATAAAGAAATATTATAATATTTCTAGAATCTGGAACTGTCACCATGATGAATGGCCCTTTCAATACATAGTTACAGAAACTCCTTAAGATTCCCCAGGACTTCAATTTCACTGGTTTTTAGTTGCAGTTTTTAGTTGCAGTTTTTAGTTGCTGTTATTGTTGCTGTTTCCAGTCTAAAGGACCTGCTTTGATAAAGGTGAACAAGACCTCGCCCCTATGCTACCCAGCCAGATTTCATGTGTGTAATGGGCTGGCCCAAGAGTGTTCTTTTACTTAGAACTCCTTTTGATTTTGCTTTTCTTTGCCCCTAGAAATTTTAGGGACAAAGACATTTTGGAAATTGTCAGTTACTTTTAGAAAGAAAACATTGCAGAAATATTTAACAGATTACTTCTTGATAAAATTTAAATGGGATTATATGAATTTATAATGCCAACTGAAAATATTATATACACAAAAGTTGCTATTTTCACTTAAAGTAAGCATTTTTAAAGGATTTATTTTAGAATACAGTCTATGCAATCCTCAAACTCAGTGTGCTTTTCCCTGACAGAATATATAAAAAGGTAGATTAGGTCAACCCTCCTTTAAGCTTCCTCTCCCCTCACCTTTTCTTTTCACTGTATATAAACGGTACTTTCTGTGATTCGTAGCAACAGAGGACTCTTAAGTCCTAAACTGTCATTTTCTAAATCTGGGATTTAAAATCTTTAAACAATATTTAAAATCTTGATTTTTTAAAAATGTCAGCAGATACAATTTGGAAAGTTGCATCTGTGTAGAAGTAATGTAGGTACAAGATCTAGAGTTTTTCCTTAGACTCTTTAGTCTTTTCTGAATTAAAGAATAAGTGCTCTTAAATCCATATTTTATCCTGCCAAAGTCTGAAATGTGTTCATTGATGATTTGGTGACATCTAAAAAATTGTATTTAGTTGGCTTGGCTCACCCCTCTTAAAAATACTTAGCCATCTCTCGGTGGGATGTGGCGGGGGCATTAAGGTCTCAGAGTTACTTATTTTCTCACCTAATTTCAAACGGTTATAAACTTGGGGTTTTGTTATTGATGGTGGTGATATTTTTTGTTAAGTTGTTTAAAAGGCTGACTTGATTGGAGCCTCCTCTACTTTTTCTTGAGGGATACAAGTATTGTATGGTGGGGGGGGGGGGGCCTTAAGGCAAACTGTCTAAAAAGTGACTATCCAATTAATTTAGTAAATTAGTAAGAATTATTCTTAGTATTCATTCAGAGTTTTAAGATGTGAAAAATTTGCACTTTGTTTATTAACTATAAAGAACTTTTTGATAGTGTTATTTCACCCTTCCCTCAGTTAAAGGCTATTATTTAAACTGTTTACTAGAGAAAATCCTTGCTCATGTCCATTTATTTATTTTTTTCTGTACTGTGATTTGTTTCAAGCTTAGGAAAACTAGTATATTAGAGAATGTTCTAGGAAATTAAAAGATCTAGTTAGAGTAGAAAGTTCTTTTTAAGGTTCTTAACTAATTTTTTCACAACTAAGAAAATAAATGAAGTATTCTTAGGCTGAAATTCATTTTGATTAACTTTATTTTATCATAAATTAGATTGTAGGGGGCAGCCTACATTTTTGTGTATGTGTTTTATTTCTTAAATGATTGTGACATTTTATGGTTCTTGTGATATAAACTGTTTTTCCAATTCACATCTTTTGTTGTGAAGTGATATTTTACTAGAGTACTGTCTGCATTGTAAAAATGCTTTGCTGGTGCTCTTGGCATTTTGTCTTTATCTCATCACCTAATTTAAAAACTCAGCACTTGATAATATAACTGACAGAAATGATTGTACCTGCTGATGAAGTAATGAAAATGAAGAAAAGGAAAATATTCCTTCCTTCAATGGCATAAGTTTATTTTTTACTTAAGTGGCATCTATGTAAGTTAGACAAACTATATATTAAAATTGGTCAACTTTGAATGTTTCTCCTGTTTTGATTCTTAGATTATGAGGAGGATCAGACAGAATAGTAATAGACTCCACAGTTTTAAAATTTGATAAGTCAAAACGTTTTGACATATTTAACATTGTGAATTATTCGATTATTTTTATCCTCTGTATGTATATGAAACTCTATGCCATATTTTTCAACTTTGCCTATGTGCCACAATTAAGAAAGGACACCTATTTTGATCTTCATCAGCATTGCCTTCAGCTGAAAATTTGGGAACAGTTCACAGTAAACCTCTCAGTAGTTTGCAAACTGAGGTACCTGCAGAAACCATAGCTACTCACCAAAATACGCAGATTAGGTACATGGTATCATGGAAATTATTTGGTAAAAAAAAAAACAAAAACAAAACACACACAAATCTTGTGTACTGTATTTTAAGTAATATCTACAGGTGAAGCTTTGATTTTTGAACAGAATTCCAAATAATTTACTGTTGTACCCACCATAATCTAGAAAATGTGAATTAAAGTACATGTTTCTAAATCTTTTCTGTCTTGTTTTTCCCCCTATTTTAAGTGTTTCCTTTTATGGCATGAGGATTTGATTGTAACCTGCGGAGAAGGGAGATGTAGATGTATTTATCAGTAGTCTGAGGTTGTTTCTTATAATGGCAAGCATTGGCTGGCACTCTGTGAAGGGCTTTTACATGCATAGTTTGGGTTTAAATAAATACACCGTTGATCTTCACAACAGCACTAGTAGGTAGGTACAATTACTTCTCTGTTTTGTAAGTGAGAAGACTGAGGATAAAAAAGGCTAAGTAACCTGTCCATAATCACAAATTCTAGGTTGTGTAGCAAGAATTTGAGACGAGAAAGACTGATTCTAGAAACTTTGTGATGTTTTGTAAGTTGGCCTTTTACCATTCAGCTACAAAGTGGGAACTATTAAAAGCATTGTTTGATTTGTATTGAATCATAAAGCTTATAAAATATGCTTATTTTATTTAATTTTTTTGAATAGGTAATACATTCACACGGTTAAAAGAAACAAACAATAGAAAAAGTTACTCAGTGAATGTCTTCCTTCTATCCTTGGCCCAGCTTCCTACACTGCACACACATCTCCTACCATTAATAACCTGTGTTCTTGGTTTCTTAGGTTTCCATTCACACTGTTTTAGACATGTACAAACATAAACAAATGGAAAGTCTTATGTTTTTCTCTCATTTTTACTCAAAAATTGACATCATATACATAATATTTCATTTTTGTCACCTAGTATTTCTTGGCAGTCTTCACATATGACTAGATAGTTTTCTCATTTTTAAGTAGATGCTTGGTAGTCTATTATGTGAATGTGCCAGCGTTGAATTAACCAGTCCTCTATTAATGGGCAGTTCAGTTGTTTCCAGACCTTGTACATACGTCATTTCACATTTATATAAATATTGTACCTGCAGAATATATTCCCAAAGATAAGAATTTTGGGGGCAAAGACTGTGTGCATTTATAATTTTGAAAGATACTGGCATATTGTCTTTCATAGGGGTAGTCATCAATTCACATACCATCTAAAATGTATGATAGCACTTGCTAACCTGCAGCTTTACCAATAGATGTGTTATTAAAATGTTGGATTCTGGCCATTCTGATAGATGAAAATATATATCAATGTGTACATTCTTTAATTTTCCTTAAAAAAGAGACAGGGTCCCACCTTATCACCCAGGCTGGAGTGCAGTGGTATGATCATAGCTCACCGTAGCCTCAAACTCGTGGGCTCAAGTGATCCTCCAGCCTTAACCTCCTGAATAGCCTGGATTATAGGTGCACAGCACACACCTGACTGCTCAGTATGTACATTTTTATGATGCTTAAGGTTGATCACCTTTTAATATGTTTAGGAGCCATTTGTATTTCCTTTTGTGTTCCCATATTATTTTGTTCCTATCCATTTTTCTACTATATCGTTGATATGTTATTTGTTTATTTGTTAGGGATATGAACCCTTTGACAGTAATGAGTTGCAAATATTTTCTTTCCAATTTGTCATCTGTCTTTTGCTTCTAATGGTTTTGTCATGAGTTTTAAAAATTTTTTATGTAGTCTGAATTACCAGTTTTTTAGTGGTTCCTGGATTTTGAGTCATAATTAGAATGTTTTTCTCAATCCAGAGCAATAGAATAATTTCACCTAAATTCTACATCTAAATTTTGAACCGTTGAAGTACATTCTGGATCTAACCTAATTTTTTCCACAGGTGATTAACCCAGTTGTTCCACTATTATTTATTGAACTGTTTTTTCCTGATGAATTTGAGAGGCTACATGGATCTTATCGTAGAATCCTCATATATATTTAGCTCTGTATCTGCATTCTGTTTCTATTTCACTGGTCTGTTTAGTCATGCACTAGTACCACATTGTTTTAATTACCCAGGCTTTAATTTTAATCTAGTGCACTGGTTCTCCCTCATTCTTCCCCACCACCTTTTTTTAATACAGTTTTTCTAACTGTTCTTGTTTATTTTTCCGTACAAGCTTTAAAAAATTCTTAACATATAGAGCATATTAAAACTGTCCAACTCAAGTTCTCTCCCAAGGTTGCACTTTTAACCACTTATTTTGTCACTGTTCTTATGATACTTTACCTGATAAAGATATACTTTTTATTACTTTTAAATTATTACAGTGTTCTATTTGGCAGTGCCCAAACAGATGATGGCAGATAGAGGCAGGAGGCAATGCCTGTGTGGACAGAACGTCATCTCAGTGCTTCTATTTTAAGATAGTCTCTAGGAATGATTTAAGGACTGTTTTCATGTAAAATCCCTATTTCATTTTTTATTCCATTACGAATTATTTGCCCAAAAGTTGGGTATCTGTCAAAGATTCATAAGACAAGAGGGAGGAACCCTTAAAAGAGCACTAAACTTGTAAAATCAATATGTGGATAAAAGTGCAAGTGCAAGAAGTTACTGTGGGGGAAAAAAAAAAGACATCTACCAAAAACCAGGATTTGACTATTCATTCACTGTTATAGGAGCTGGGACTACAGCAGTGAACAAAACAGACAAACATTCCTACCATCATATAACTTAGACATTATAACCTAACTAGATTATAGTGAGAATGCACCAAAAGAAAAAAATACATCAACCAAAAGGGAATGGCCAACTAGACACCTATCTAGTGCAGAAGATGTCCTCAATGTGAGTGAATCTTAATGCTGTCTTGACAGTGCCATCAGATTGTCATAGATTGATGCTATTAATCAATTATAAAGTCATTCCCCTAACACTGGTCAGAGCGGAGTTAACATTCCAAGCAACACTCTGATATCATTTAACTTCCGCTATGGCTTCCCTTCATAGAATATACCTCCAAATGCGTGAGTGTTCTGTTCCCTTTGATGAGCTTTAAACCTGCAAACCTAGAGCCCAGACTCTTGGCTAGTGAATTCACCAAGGAGATAGCGCTCAAAGGATACTAAGTTACACATATTTAATGGCCCTGGTAAAGCACTATTTGTTTAGGATAAATGCATGTTTTATATACTTCATTTAATCCCTTCAAGGAGCACTGCCAAGAGACTGGAGGGACTGTTGTAGGTTAGTGAGAGATGGAGAAAAAGGTCATAGTAACAGGAATCAATAGAAAAAGGGGGCAATTTTGAGAATCTTATAGGCATCTGATCTCCACTTAAGTTCAGGGGCAGAAAATCTGTTCTGGACATAGAAAGTCTAATATTTTGAATGGTAGGGCATCCAAGGTCCAAAAGGGCAGACCAAGTTTGGAGCTAGAGGATTAGTATTAGCAAGATGTTAATCAGTTTGAGAAAACAGAAGACGGGGCCCAGCCATAGCTCAAGGACTAGAGGTAGAGAATCCAGACTTGGAGGAACCGGTCATTAGGAGTTGCTGAGTCACTGGATTTAGATCTTACGACCCTGACCCTGAACCCATAATTAATGACCTGGGCAGCCAATCTCAGAATTCCACACGGAATGAATGTAGTATCAGTGCCCTGGCCTATAGGAACCGGGCAGCAGGTACAGGGACTCTAACACAGATCTAGGTTATGGGCACAAGGACATCCTCAGAAGACTTCAACTTATTTTGACCCTTGGTGCAAGAGTTCTTCATGTATCCTTGCTAAGGGCCTAGAGTAACGTTAGTATGTGGGTGTTCCTGAGTATAGACTAGGATCCACAGAAACGTGACGAGTGCCTAGCCCAGCGTCTCACATATAATAGGTACTCAATAGAGATTGAATCCCACTCTCTTACCCTCACTGTTCCTTGTTCAGTGTTTCCTCACTTTAATCAGTTTGTTAATTGAATCTTTTTGATGAGAAGAATTCCACAATTTTAGCCTGATCCTTTTCAGCAGCTCCTCCATCTGGACCCATGTCTGAAGTAGCATGATATACAGTTAGAAATGTCCTTTAATACAATTCTCACATAAGATGAAAACTGGGAATGCATATTAGATGTGTCTCTGATCAGATCTATGCTAGTCTATTCTTCATCATGCAACAATCTAAAGTGAAAGAGTGGTATTTTTTAGATAAAGTTTGTCTAATTGGAAATCTCGATAAAAGTTTCAAATATTTAGACCTATTTAGTTCTAATATAAGTTTACCTTTACTGTTAAAAGCAAGTAACACACACTATATAATGAGATATATAAAAATGAGAACCTTTTTCTAACAGCGCTTCTCAAGTTCTAGGGTTTACTATTATGTATTCCTTTCTTCTTAATAAGGTTTAAGTGTTCAACTAGGTGTTGGCCCAGCACTGAGGTCAACAAAGAGCAGCTGACTTGGATTTTGGTGAAAGGAAATTTGAGGAGGCGTTAGTGAGTGTGCCTGATCTAAGCAGCTAAATTTAACCAGCAAAGCTTTTAATTTGCCTGATACATTCAAGAGAGAATTGGCATAAATACGATTGACGTGTATATTGTAATAGTCAAACCTTCTTACAGTCACAGCTCTGTGTAACATACTCTAGATGTTTTCCGCAGCAGCTCAACCGAGTTCATTGTAAAAAGGATAAAGAGCCAATGAAAAATATCTATACAATATTCTTAAACAATTAACTGCAGAGGTAGACACCTATTCCAATAGTCAGAGAAACTATTTCCAACAGTTACCCAGAAACATTCCCATGACACTTTTCAGTGTTGCATCAGACTTAGCTAAATGATGGTACAACATTTTTAGTGATTCCCTCTTCCCCATACACTTTAACTTTCAAATTATCAGGGCTTTAATTTCATCGTGTTGCTTTAAAACAAATGAACATTTGGGTATTCTGCAACCAGTAATCACCATTCTTTTCCTCTTAGCATTCAATATTCCACATAAGTAGTTTTTTTTTTTTGTTTTTTGAGATGGAGTCTTGCTCTGTCACCCAGGCTGGAGTGCAGTGACACAGTCTCCACTCACTGCAAGCTCCACCTCCCGGGTTCACGCCATTCTCCTACCTCAGCCTCCTGAGTAGCTGGGACTACAGGCGCACGCCCGGCTATATTTTGTATT